ATTATCGGGCGGCTCGACCGTGAAAGGACAAGAAAAAGTCAAAAAGAAAAAGGGAAAAAAAAAAAAAAACTCTGAAAAAAAAAACTATGTTATGAAGAAAAACAAATTGAACAATGTTTGTTTCAGAATTACAATGAAGTTCTTTACCAAAGTTAAAATAAAAATATAAAATTTCAACCATCGCTGCTAGGCTACCAGCCGGGCCGCCCGGGTCTCCCTATTTTTCCAGGCGGCCCGATCGTGCAAGGACCAGAGAAGTTCCCACCCAAAACAATAATAATCATAAAAAATCAAAAAAATCCGAAAAAAAATTATGTTATGTAGAAAAATGAACTAATCAACAACTCCCTAAGGGTCACATCAAATTTTTTTACTAAATTTAAAAATAAAAATTCAAATTGAAAAAATACTTTTTATTTTTTTATTTTTTAATATTTTTTGAGTCAGGTTGAGCAAATGGATTCGGGCCACTCTGGTAGCCTAGCATCACCACAATTTTATTTATTTATTTTTTAACCCGGCCGGATAAGTTTTTTCGGGCAACTCTCGTAGCTTCGAAAAAATACGAAAAGAAAACGTTATCTAGAAAAATAAATTGAACAACTTTTGTTTAGGATGACATAGAAATTGTTTATTAAACTTAAAATTATGTATATATATATATATACTACGTTGCCACCTGTACGCATCCTCGTACAAATACGCATTTGTTCTTCTATACTCGTACGTTAGGGGTCTGTCCAACCTTTTTTTTTTTTTTTTTTTTAATGATATTGTTTTTTTTTTCTTCTCAAATTCTAATAAGAATATGGAGATGATGCTAAGCCTAATGTTGCTTGGATTATGTTGTTGCATAAGATACTATGCTACCAGAGTGGCCCGATACCACTTTCCTGGCCCAGCCAAAAAATATATATATGTACAGGGTTACCAGCCTGTACGTACGGAGGCCCCCTGGCGGACCTCCGTACGCTCGGGCGTTCAGGGTTCCGTACGGGGCCCGAACCCGACGGCGTTCGGACCCCGCCAAAAATTATTTCGGCGCCTAAAAATATATATTTTTTTCTGAATGATTTTTTGTGCGTTCTCTATGACGTGAGGTACATGCCTATAAATTTTCAAGTCATTTGGCTCAGCCAAATAAGAATTAAAAATTACCAAAGATGGCAGTGTCAAAACGTGCTTGCCCACGTTTTTTTTCACTTTTGACTTTTTGTTTTCACTTTAGTTCGGGGTCTAGAAAATTTTATTATTTTTTGAAACTTTTTTAGTGGGTTTTGTATTATGTGAAGTATGTATCTGTAAAGTTTTAGGGCATTTAGCTATGCCAAAACAAAATGAAAAATCGCCAAAGATGGCGGTGTCGAAAACATGCTCGCGCACTCACTAAATTCAATTATCTTTTTATTTTTATTTATTTATATTATTAGTATTTATTCTGTGTTTTTTATTTTTATTTCAAATTTGGTAAGGAATTCGGACGTAATGTTGAGGCAAATCTTGTTTATTTTATTTGTCTTCATAAAATATCGTTTTTTTCAGATTTGTTTGTTTTTTTTTTTTTTTTTTTTTTTTTTTTTTTTTTTTTTTTTTTTTTTTTTTTTTTTTTTTTTCGGTTGAATTTTTTTTTATTTTTTTTTTTTTTTTTTTTTTTTTTTTTTTTTTTTTTTTTTTTTTTTTTTTTTTTTTTTTTTTTTTTTTTTTTGGGTCCGCGTTCGGCCCGAACAACCGAACGCATCCCCAAGGGGTCCCATACGTACGGGCGTTCGGGTTCGGGCGTTCGGCCCGTCCCGAATGCCGGTTACCTTGTATATATATATCGTCAAATAGAACTGCCCGGTAAACCGTAGGCAGAGAGGGAGAAGAGGACAACAAACGAGGGGCTGTGACAAACTGTTTCGTTGGAGTTTCACCGACTCATCATATATATATATATACATATGTTTTTAAAAATTTGGCAACGGATTTCGATGTGACCCTGAGGCAAAAGTTGTTGAGTTTATTTTTCAAAATAACATAATATTTTTCTTATTTTTTAGATTTGTTTTTTTTTCTCTTTTTTTGCTGGGACCTTCCCTGAGTCCTTGCACAGTCAAGCTGCCTGGGAAAAAAAGGTGACCCAAGCAGCCTTGCTGGTAGCCTAGATAAGGTATTTATTTTTCGAAATTTTTGAAAGATTTTTTTCTTTTCTTGGATGGCAGAGTACAAAAAGTACGAGATGATATACAAGTTCTCACAAAGGTCCCGTACATATATCATGTGTACGTTTTATACGGAGAGGCCCAGTAAGTGTACGTTAGATAACGTAGTACATATATATAAATATATATATTTTGTCCAATCGCATAACTGGTCCTGGGACCGGGGCACTCTGATAGGTTAGGTTTTGAGGTTTTTGGCTAGGCCGTTTTCCCGGGCGCCCGGGCACCCAACTTATGCCCAGGTACACGCCTGGGTGCCCGGCCGGGCATGACCCCCGGGTAAGGTTCCGGGCAGCCCTAGCGCCAAAAAAAAAAAAAAAAAAACCCTCAAAAAATTCTGGAAAAAAAAATGTTGTGTAGGATTGAAATGCAAACCACTTTTGGCTGAGGATCACATTATGATTCCTCACAGAATCGGAGATAAGAAAGAAAATAACAGAATCATACAAACACACCCCCCTTTAGACCCCTTTAACCCCTTTAAAACCAATTTATACCCCCCTCCCCCCCCTTGACAGCCAACTCGCAAAAAACGAAATGAGCCCTGATTTGGAGTCCTCTAGTAGAGCGCAAATGCACGCCCGAGTACCCCGAGCGTCAACCCGCCCCGGGCGTCACGCCCGGGTGCCCGGCCGGTCCTGGCGTGAGAATCTTCCTAGGTTTTTGGAACATTAACGAAAAAGTTGGCAAAAAGACCGAATTTAGGGAAAAACTAGAAAAACTCTGAAAACTACGTCAGCCTGATTTTATAATGTTTTTAAGTTTTGTTTTGAGTTTTTTTGGCTTGTTTGCAAGGCTACCGGTTAGGCGACCTAAGTCACCCTATTTTCTCGGGCGGCCCGACCGTGCAAGGGTCAAAGAAGGTCCCAGCAAAAAAAAAAAAAAAAAACTCCAAAAACTCCAAAAAATAACTATCTTTTGCACAACAATAAATTGAACAACTTTCGCCTTAGGGTCACATCGACATTCTTTACCAAATTCAAAATAAAAATTTGAATTAAGAAATAAATTTTATATTTTTATTTCTTCTTGGCCCGGCCGGGCAAGTGGACCCGAGCCACCTGTGTAGCACACCAAACATGTTCGGAGCTTTTCCGAACGTCCGAACATGTTCGGGTGTTCGACCGAACGCCACGCGAACATGTTCGGCTGAACATATTAAAAAAAAATAAAACATCTAGTTTGACTACGAATTTGAGCATACATGTAAGGCAAAAGTTGTTTGTATTATTATTTAACAACACATATATTGTTTTCAAATTTTTCGAAGAACGTTTCTGTTTTTTTGTTTTTAATATTTTTAGGTTCGGGTTCGGAGAGTTTCGGCGCTCGTTCGCGTTCAGTCCCGAACGTTCGGGTTCCGTCACCGAACCCAAACACGATGCTACACAACGGGTCACTTTCGTAGCCAATTTTTTTTTTTTTTTTTTTTCGATTTTAAATCTGCATTGTTTCTTTGTTAAAATTTTCAATGAAATTCCTTCGCATGATGCAACAAAAATCTCAAATCTTGGATCTTCTATTTACCACCTTTCCTTGTATTCGATTCAAGTAACTGCCGGAGCAGCTTCAAATTTGAAGAAATAACTTTTTCTCGTTTTTACTTTATTACGGAGGTCAGGGTCACTAGCCCGTACGTACGGAGGTGCCCGGGAAGACCTCCGTACGTACAGACGTTCAGGGTGTTGTACGGGGTCCGAGCCCGACGGCATTTCGCCCCCGCCAAAAATCATTTCGGGGCCTACAAATAATTATTTTGTTCTGTCCAGGACTACGCATAGACCTATCGCACATAAAGGTATTTACCAATCCCTCTGTGGGACAATGCAGAGGAAGCACGGCAACCTCTCCACAATTTCAAAACAAAATCACCGCCTGGTTCACAAGGCCGTGGCCTCCCTGCTTGATCAGAGCAAGAAAATCACACATCTTGATGACATCTCTTAAAACACACCATTTGCGACGTCCAAGAATTCCACCAATAGTCAAGCAAAATCTGGTCCCTCTCGTCAGTCTTTTATTACTCAAAGTCAACCTTCTATTTATCAATCTATTTTACCACCTTATTTATAGAGGAGGTCTTACTTTAATAGGTCTCTCAGTCATCCCTCTCTCACTAGGATGAACTCTCTCGCGACCTTTTCTTTAATGCATCTTCCCTCTCTGAAGGTGCGTCTTCCAAATAAATAATGGACAACTTTTTCATTCACAGGTGTCCCACTCATCATATACTCCATATATAAAAGACCAAGTTGTGGGTCTTCCGCACAGCTCAACAGTAGAACACTCACCATACAAATATTCAGGATCCTCACATCCTTTCACAAAACGGACTCCGCTTCCTTGCCTTATACTCCGCCCTCTTATCCGCCCATGGGCAGATCGCGCGAGTATACCTGCGAGTAGACAGTTCACATTCATCCAAATTCACAAGGTACAAGATACATAAAATATTTTTCTCACACATATTTCACATCAAATCATCATCCATCAAACCAGGACCACACGAGTGAGTGTGAGAGTGATCGTCATACATAACATAGTAGTCCCCAAAAGGTCTCAATATAATATACACTCAGGGATAAAATATCCCGCACAAAAATGTCTCCAAACCATAGCCCACTCAACTCACTCAAATCTTCACTCACACTGATGTCGTCCTCAAAGTACAAGTTGGGTCTGTCTCTCGAAGATCAGGGCGTAGGCCACCTAAGTATGTGCACGCCTCATCTACCACGTCCTGACCCTCAAGATGGCAGACTCAACAAAAACCAAACCCAAACTGCTCAACAAATGCAAACAACACCTAGGTCTACAGGATCCAATCCTAACTCTAGTCCTACACGCAACATGTCAACCATATAGGTAACTCAGTCCTGATCGCTCATCTCCTCCCGGTTTTGCCTATATAGTTGAGACCTACCCCCATCTGCAGATCTCTTTACTCTCCTGCTATGTCTATCATACATCCTGCCTCCTTCCTTTGTAACCTTCCCTTCGGCCTTGTCCTTCAGGAACTTAGGACACTGCAAGGCTCGATGCCCCTCCTTGGTACAGAAGAAACAGGACGTATCGAACCACTTCCTGGACCTCTTCTTTCCTCTCTGAGACCCTGGCGACGATGGTGCTTCGCTAGCCTCCCTGCTCAGCTCATGGCTCTGAGGCATATCCAAAGGCTCCTCTCCTATCTCCACCTCCTGGGTACTCGGCCCTGGTCGATCCTCAATCCCCCCTGGCCCATACTCAGGTGTGCCCAACCTCTGGAGCCTGCCCTCGATGACACCCTCCGCCTCAATCCCTATCTCTCTCTCAAAGGGCTCCTCTATCCTCTGCTCAGGCGAAAACAAGCTCGCCTCCTCCTGCATCGAGTGCACTACCTCAATAAGCACGTCCCTAGATCCCTCTGTTGAGCCCTGAGCCGGCTCACTGCTGGATGGTGGTAATCCCTCCTCAACTGCCAAGGGTATGACTGGGCCAGCCGCTGCTATAGGCAGCGTGGCGAGCTCAGTAGGGGCTCTAAACTCGAAGGCCTCTCTCTCTGCCTCCCTCTGAGCTCTCGCCTCCTCTGGCTCCAGGATGACTCTCCCCATAGGTGGCTCCTGGCTAGTCTCTGCTGCAGATGGCTGTCCTGGCAAACCATGTCCTGGCTGCCTCTGCTCTCCCTGTCGGCTGCTCTCTGGCTTGTCCACCTCTCCCTGAGATCGCTGCCTTTGGCTCTCGATGATAGCTGCCTGACTGGCCACCAATGCCCTAAGTTCTTGGATTTCCACCTCCATAACCTCCAGGCTTACCCCATGGCCTGCTTCCTTTATCTTCTTTCCTGCCAGATCGCTCTCCAATAGCAAGTGCCGGTCAAAAGTTGCCTTGGCCAGGAACTTGATTTTGCGATCCAACCTTTCTTCTGCCTTCCTTGCCATCCCAAGCCCGGCTCTGACTGGCGAAGGAAGCTCCTCTCCTCTCTACTCCCAGAAGTCCCTCTACATCTCAGGGATGTTCGGGGCCCTAGCTGGCGCACTGGGTGGCTGACCTGGGAGTGGTCCTACTGCCTCTGATCTCTGCCTTTCCTGCTGCTGCTCTAGAAGCTCCCCCGCTGCCTCCAACCTCTGCCTCTCTTGCCATATCTCGTATATCCTCCTGGTTCTTCTCGCCCTCTTTTCCTCTGTTGTCTCTCCAGCTGGCGCCCTTTCCCTCGTTCGGAGGTCAACCCTCTTCGGGATCTCTGCCTCTATCTCCTTCTCGGGCTGGCATGACTCCTGGCGCGGCTCTACAGGTGTTGACTCTTCCAGGTCTGGGTGCTCCAGGGCATGAGCTGCTAGGTGTCTGTCAATCAGGGTCAAGGCTTCTCTCCTTACAGCTGCCCTCTCTCTCCTCCTTTCTGCTCTCTCCTCTGGCGAAGGAGTCTTTTCTGATGAAGGTAATGGGGCCTCCTCTCTCTGTAACCTCTCCCCCGCCTGGCGAGTGCTCCCTTGTGCATCCCCGAGTCTTAAACCCACCGTCGACGTCTGAGGGGGCGTGTCCTCTCCAACCTCTATCACTTCCTTCCCTGCACGTCTCCCCTCATCGTCCAGCCCTCTCTCTCGCTGAGTGTCCTGGACCTCCTCCTGCGGCACCTCCTCTCGTGGCACTTCCTCTCGTGGCACCTCCTCTGCCTGCTCTCCACGCTCCTCACCCCGAGGTGACACTCTCCACTGAGAGATATCCAAGTGCGCTTCCAACTCCCTCAAAGGCTCCTCATACGCTGGCGGCCCCTCCTGTGTACGTGTTGGCGACCTCCTCAATTCACCTTCGGCAAAACGATGGAACTCTACCGGTCCCAACCCACACTCAGGGTACGCGCCTCGCTCCTCAGCCTCAGGCTCTGGCTCCTCCTCTCTCTTAGCTAGGGCCTTTCGTCCTTCTCGAGATGGTCTCGCCTTCCTTGGCTCAGGGTCCCTCTGCCTCTGACTCCTCTGACGCCTCTCAACTCTGGGCTGAGGGGGCTCTGGCCGTCGAAAGGCCTCTCTCAGATATGCCCTGCAGCTCTCCCAGTCCCGGGCCATGCTTCTGACTTGGCTAGCCAGTGGCCTTTCCGCCTTCCTGGTCCAGAGTGGTAGCGTCTGCATCCAATCATTTCTCGGTATACCCTGCCCCTGCATGAACCACTCAAACGCGGGGATGAAGTCCGACGCATTTCCAATCTCCAATCGGATCGGCCTGCCATCAGGTCCCACAGGCGAGGGTCGCAGCTCCTGCATCCTCCACTCCACCTCTGATCTCGTCGTCGCCTCCCTACGGATCCGCGCGACGGGCTCCTCAAATCTGCCTGCTCCCCTCAGTCTCTCAATCGCCTGGGCCACGGTCCAGCCCATACGCCTCGCATGATCCCAGAAGCTATCCAGGAATAGCTCGATGTCCCCATCATCGTACACCGGAGTACTCTCTCGATGGCGAAGCTCATGCCGCTCATATCCTCCTGATGCTCCCAACGACCTCTGAGGCGGCCGTGTCCCCTTCCCTCCTCTTGGCATAGCTGTCTTCGTAAAGTCAGACCTGCACAACAGGCGAAGGAGACAACACGCACACATTGGGGTAAGCAAACAGGTGATAATCAAAGCAAGCTCAGACCAGACCACACTCATACAACATGCATCCTACCTAACCTACACAGCCTGCTACTTTTATTCTAAAGGCAGTCAGGTCATCTCTTTTACCTTTTCTCTCGCCACAAATTTCTTCAATCTCGTTCCAGATACCCAATCCTTCCGCTCCGTCCCATTTAGCTCCTCAATCTGGTACGCTCCAAAATCTCCGACCCGTACGATCCGATAAGGACCTAACCACCTCTTATCGAGTTTTCTGGACCACTGCTTTTCCAGCGATGAATCGTAGAGAAGCACGACATCTCCAACTGCCAAGGGTACTTTCCTCACTCGCGCAGACTGATCCCATCGAGCCTTATCATCCATACGGCTTCTCACCACCAGATCAGACGTCTCCTGGATCCTTTCTTCTATCACCCCTATCTGCCGCGCCCAGATATCGAGCAACTCTTCAAATGACAGGTTAACTTCCAGATCCTGGCGCCTCCATGTCTTAAGAAAGTTTTCGATAGGGAAGGTGGCGTGCCTTCCATACCACAGTGTCGCCGGTGCATACTTGGTGGATCTTCTTACTGTAATGTTCTCGACAAAGAACGTCGCCCTTAGGTATCTTGGCCATTGATTGGGCCTACCTTCGGTCCCCCTAGCCAGGAGGCTCGTAATGGTACTATGTACTCTCTCCACGGGAGCATTTACTTGGGGGTGCGCGGCCGTGGTGTAGTTGGTTGCTACACCATATCTTGATAACAATTCTTGCACCTCTTGGCAGGTAAACTCTGATCCTCTGTCCATTACGAATTCCCTGACGAAAGGATAGCGCAGGTAATGCTCCTCGATGCAGCTCACCAGGACTGACCCGGTCTTTATGCGAATAGCACGCCCGTCTACGAACCCAGATAGGTTATCGCACGCATCGAAGATATAATTATAACCCTGATCCCCAAGCGGCATAAAAAGCAGATCGAGATGCACTACAACCCCCACCTCTCGCTCTAGCCTTGGATGCAGCGGCTCTTCTTGCCTTAAACGGGATCTTTCCTGACAGGGTACGCAGGATCAGCAGAACTTCCCGACCATATCCATCATCCCATCCTAGTAGTACAACTCATTTATCTTGGCATGCGTGGCTTGTACCCCTCGATGCCCTCCTGCAATGCCATCATGAAGTTCTGCTATAACGTCAACCTGGCGGTTCCTACCGCAGACGACTCTCCTAGGATTCCCCACTTCTCTTCTTACGAAAAGGTGGCCATCTCGCACTAAAGAGATAGATCCCATACTCCTCCGCACGAAAGGCCTCCCTCATTTCCCCCTCCTCGAACTCGTCGTCCTAGCTCTCGGGCACTTCGTCCACATTCCCTGTCGGGTTCAACGAGCCTGAGTGGTCGAGGCTTTCCTGCAATAGCGTGTTGACGAGGAGATACATTCCTCCCATCAGATCCTCATGCCGTTCTACCGGGCCTGGTCCTTCCTCGATCGTTCTTATGTCTTCCACCAAACAATGCGAACTTGCCAGCGCCAACTCCATCATCCACTGAACATCCTTACCTTTCCAAAAATCTTCTTCTTCTGCCCTCCTTTCATATCCGCTCGGCGCTTGCCAAATAGGATAACCCACACAACTAGGCACTCGCGGCGACCACTTGTTGATATGGAGACGGACATCTTCCTCCTGATCCAGGAATCCATCAACTGGGGGCGTATTCTCCACCGCCTCTCCTTCATGGTTATCCTAGTTGATACGACTCAGCCCATCCGCCCGGTTCTTGCTACCAGGAATACGCTCCAACTCGAAGTTAAACATTCAGATGTACGTCAGCCATCTGGCAACCGTCGGATCTGAGAGTAGGTCAGGGCGGTTGGGTCCACTCTCAAAATAAACCTCCTGCCGAAGATGTAGTTTCGGAAGATCCGTAGACAGTGGAGGACAGCAAGAGTCTCCCTTTTGAACTGAGAGTAGTTTCTCTCTGTCGTACAGAGAGTCCGGCTCTCAAATCGCAAGGGTTTTTCCTTTCCTTCCATGTCTGCCTGAATTACAACTCCTCCTAAGGCAGTAGGCCCGACATCTGTTTCGACAATGAAGGGTCGTGTGTCCGTGGCATCATAATCTGGCGCTCCTAACACCAACCCTCCTTCTCAAAATTCCTCCTTCATCTTAGCCACCACCTCTTCTTGCTCCTCACCCTAAACCCATTTTTGATACTGACGGACTAACTTCCTCAGGTGCTCAGTCTTAGCGGCAAAGTTCTTGACGAAGGCCCTCCAAAATCCACACGTACCAAGGAAGCTTCGGACATCAGTTATTGAGTGGAACGGAACTGGCCACTCACTAATCTTGTCCGTCTTCTTCACATCTGGCCTTCGGCCCTTCTCGCTACAGACGAACCCCAAGATAGTCGCTTCCCTCATGCAGTGTCTGGATTTGGCCCCGCTCGCCGTGAGGTTGTGCTCCTCAAGCAGACTCAGGACTTTATCGAGGTCCTGGATGTGCTTCCAAACAAAGCGCCTTACCCCTGGCAAGACCTCGTCGCTCTCCTTTATTGTCGGCCCCTTCACCGCCAAATCTTCGATGTATGGCTGTGTGATGTGGGGGCTAACTGACTGCATAGTCCGAATCATGGCCCGTTGGACCATTGCTACTGCGTTGGTCCACCCTTGTGGGGCCACGTTCATGTGGATTAGTCCTCGCGGCGTGTGCATTGCCGTCACTGGCCTATCCGGCGGATAGACCGGAAACTGATCATATCCTGAGTAAAGGTCTATAAGTGAGATTATAGGCCTTCCAGCACAGGATTCTGATAGAGCATCCGCATGTGGCAATCCTCGAGCGTCCCGTACGGTCACCATATTCAGTCTCTGAAAATCTTGCACCCACCGCAGCGTCCCGTTAGGCTTGATGAAGCAGAACCACGGGGACGCATACGGCCCATTGGAATAGTCGGCGACGTGCGTACTTATCTTGTCATCGAGGTAATCCACCACCTTCTTCCCCTCGTCAGGATTAGGATATCGCGCCCCTCTCATCTTCCAAGGCTCGTGTGGCACTGTGTGGATGCGGATCATAGGTATTTTATCTACATCCAGCCTGCCACGCTCCTCGTCACTAAACGCATAGGCGCGATGCCTCCTCTTCATCAATTTCACCATCAATATGCGCTCCTGAGGCAATAGGAAGTCAGGTTTCTTTATAATCAACTCCCTTTCATTTCCTTCGTTGATACGACATGGTCCTGCTAAAGCACTCTCCCTCATTCGTCGAATCAAATCTCGTTCCCTCTCGTAATACGTTTTCTCGTCCTCTGTAACGAGGACGGGAACTGGGCGACACTTTTTGTCTACCGTCTTGTACCGCCTTTGGGAACCCTGTTTGAGCTGTCCCCTAAAAAAGGCCAACTCTTAGATTGCGCCTGCGCGGACGCGGGGTTCCTTCTTCCATCCGGAAGACGGTATACCACCTCCAATCTCTCAGCCTCAGGGCATTCCAGAACTTGCTCCCTCAAGGCCTGGATGGCATCCGGATCCGCCATCTCATGTGTGACCACTAAATCCATGGCCTTTCCGACGTCCGATAGGCTACGGGAAAATGCTTTCACCTCTTCTTCTCCTTCCGGCTCCGCCCGAAGTCTTCGACGCTCGCCTTCCGATTCTTCGATCGTGAAGGATCCCGGGTTGGGCCAGTTCCTTATACTCCTCGGTCTTGTATTCCTGCATGTAATTATCTTTAATTCCCGCAGGCAGGGTGACATAGTAGGAGGATCATAGTACCGTCATGCTTGTTGAACATCACGGTTTCTGTCCTACTCAAAAATAACCTCTCTAGGGGGATCCCATGCTCCACGTCCGGCATGATGAAGAAGCAAGCTCGGGCCTTCACTTTTCCAACCTCGATGAGTACATTCGAGGCTGTCCCACAAAACACGGCCTTGCAGCTGGCTCGGTGCAAAATACCACCGTCAGATCGGTCTATGTCCAGCCCGAATCTGATAGCATCCGCCTCCCGGATGATGTTCATTTCTGCCCCGGTGTCCACCATTGCTGCACACTTGGATCCCTTCACCACTAAATCCACTGTGCCGCAGGCCACGCACTTCCAATCCATCTTCGTGCCTGACTCCGCCCATTCTGCCTCCTTGGGCAGAATCGTGCCTAGATGGACGTTGACCACCAACCGTCGTGACAACCTCCCTTTCAATTCATCGCGGAGTCGCGGGGTTGTCGCCAGAATTTCCTTCAGAGTCATGAAGTCATTATGCGCTTCTAGTAGCCGATCGATCATTTTCTCCACGTCAAACCCCTTCCTTTTGGGCGGTCCGTCGCGCACAACCGGCTCGACCTCTCCCCTGACTCCCTTTTGCCTTGCCCGCTGCTCCGCTCTCTGATCCTCTTCTCTGCGTAGCCTCTCGTCCTCTTCCTCCTCATTGTCGTCATCCTCCACTTCCACAGCCTCCTTTCTTTTCCCCGGTTCGGGCTCCCTCCTCGGAGGCTCTTGGCTGGCACTGGCCTTGGCTTGATTCCTCGTTCTCGCTGCTTGTGCCAGCCGGGCCTGCGGGGTGAGGGGTCTCCCCATCATTCCCGATTGTGGGCACGACCCAAACACATTTACTCTGGGTCGCCCGGGCGCTGACTCCGGGCCGGAGTCATAGAGGAACACCTTGGGGATGTTAGACCTCCATCTCTTTACTTCGTCCCAGAGGTCTACCAACTTCTGCTGGTACCTTCTCACCTTGTTAAATAGGTCCTCCATCTTCCTCAATAAGACGGATGGCGATTCCATTCTTCTTTCCTCGCCTTCATCATCCGATTCGATGATTATGGACTCTTCCCTCCTACCTCCTCCACGTGGTCCTTAAGTCACTTCCTCGTCGCTCCCCACTTCCTCTACCCCAATCGGTGGTTCCTCCTTTTCCTGCCATAACCTGAACGTGGCAGGGGGTGACGGCCCAGCTGCCGCCCTTCGTTCGGCTTCCGCTCTCACTCGTCCAAGCCTTCTATCAATGGCCTTCCCAAACTGATCATAAATGTTCCCATCCATGGTGGAGGAGATCAGACCGCTCCTCTCGTCTTCTCGTCTTATTTTACAGAACCTTATGGTGTGGCCTTGCTGGTCACAATGCTGGCAGATGGCCGTCCTCCAGTCAAAACGGGGTCTCCCATACCCCAGACTTCCCTAATCCCCCTGGCCTTGATACCCCTGGCCTGGGTACCCTTGGCCTTGATTCCCCTGGCCTTGATTCCCCTGGCCTTGGTACCCCTGGCCTTGGTTTCCTCGGCCTTGACTATTCCATTGCCCTCCTCTTCCACCGCCATTCCTCCCTCGCCCCCTTCCTCCACCCCTCCCTCCGTTGCCTTGATTGCCCTGCCCCTGGTTCCCACCTCCTGCCACGCTTCCCTTTGAACTGGGAGCGGGTGACGGTGGCGGGGCCACAGGCTGGGCCAGGGCTGCGGGGTAAATGGGTGGCAGCATACTCGTTTGTGGTCCGGCTACTGGCGGCGGGCTACCCCATGGTACGATTGCATTAATCACCGGCCAGGGCCTTTGTCCGAGGAGGGCGCCCCTCCTTGCGAGGGACCCGTACTAGATGATGGAGCCGCCACATTTAAAGGGGTTATTGTCAAGGCCCGCGGTGCCTCAGCTTTTCCTGATCCCTTTCCGCCCTGCGCCAAGTTACGCACTTTGCGTTGGACCTTTGTCAGGCGCTGCGGCAACGACTCTTCCTCTTCCCAAAGCTCCTCCTGAACAACCTCCTCTATCACCGGCTCCTTTCCCTTCACTTGGACAGCCGTTACTACCCTCCTTTGCACCACCGGCTCTGTCACATACCCCAGCTGTGCCAATACGTCTGTAACAATCCTTGTTACCCCCGG